AGATTCAGTTCTCTGCTAATGTGCCTGGGAAAGCAGTGAAAGATGGCTCAAGTCCTTGGACCCCTTTATCCATGTGAGAGACCTGGAAGAAGCTCCTGGCTTTGGATTGGCAAAATTCTGGTCATTGTGGCCATTTCTGGAGTGAACCAGTGGATGGAAGATTCTCATTCTCTCTCTCTCATCTCTCTCTGTCTCTCTCTCTGTCTCTCTTCTCTCCCTTTCTTTCTCTGGCTCTCTAACTCTACCTTTCAAATAAATAAATAAATCTTAAAAAAAATTCTTTCAGAGTGATAGGGTGTGTCATGAAGATGCAGAAGTTAGCTTGAAGGAGCGCACACTGGCCAGATACTGGATAATTTCAGCACTAAAGTAAATGTTGATGTTGTATACGAATAAGTGAGAGATAAGAAAAATTTCTTCTTTACAGCGGGGTGTTTTGTTAATGATGAAGAAGTGGGTAGTTCAAAAAAAAAAGTCATTATTTGGCATCTACCATAATGATACTTGATTCAGATGGAAGTTACAAATGGATCCTGATGTTGGTGGGAAGAAGTTAGATGAGACATTGAATGCTGTGTAGTATTGGGTTATCTCCCCGTAAAATGGGTAGTTAAAAAAACAAGTCATTATTTGGCGTCTACCATAATGATAGTTGATTCATATGGAAGTTACAAATGGATCTTGATGTTGGTGGGAAGAAGTTTGATGAGACATTGAATGCTGTGTAGTATTGGGTTATCTCCCCACAAAATGCTTATGATTTACAGAGGAAAATCTGGTGACCAGATGATCTAGGTTAACCTCACCAGTCGTGACATACGTTGACATCATGTGATTCTTGATGAGAAAAGCTGAGAAAAGGTTAGTGTGATTTCTGAGGTTTTTCTGATAAAATGCCAACATGAGTTTGACTTTGAGGACACCTTTACAGTTTTTGCTTGAGGGACATCCTAAAGAGTGAAAGATTGGAACTCTTGAGAATTGTCAATATCACAAAGGTGGGGAAACACTGAGCAGCTATTTGAGAATAAAAGAGGTACAGCAAGGGAATGCCACATTTGATGCTGGGCAGCAAGTGCAAGGGCTGCTGTTGACAGGCACAGCGTGTGCAGAGGACCTCTAGATTGGACTGACAGTGTGGTATCAGTTTCCTTATTCAGCTAGTGATCTGAGGTTCCAGAGGTGAATATTCTCTTGTGGAACGTTTACTCTGGTGAACATAGGGCAGATCAGCCCTTATGTCAGAAACTTGCTCTCTAAGAGTAATGAGAATGGGTGCAGTTAGATAAAGAAGGTGATTGGAACAGATGTGGTAAAACGTTAATGATGGAGACATTGCAGTTCAGGGGATGCAGTTCCTTGTAGCATCCTTGAACCATGGCCAGCTATTTGTGTGGAGGTGAGGTGATGGCGGAGAGTTGGGTTTAGTACATATCAAGGTCTTTAAGGTTCCTGTGATAGAGAAACAGAGGAGGAGAGGATGAGTACTGGGCACCTGGTGGGGGGCCTGATAGTGCCAGACAGTAGAATCTATACTGAGTAGGGATTGAGAGAGGACACGCATGAGGAGGGAACTGTGGAGATGTTACGAGAGTGATTGGAGGGGCCAGTACCGTGGCTCACTTGGTTAACCCTCTGCCTGCATCACCAGCATCCTGTATGGACGCCGGGTTATAGTCCTGGTTGCTCCTGGATCATGTTAGAACCCTTGGTTTAAGACTCAAGTATGGCCGGCGCCGTGGCTCAATAGGCTAATCCTCCGCCTTGCAGCGCCGGCACATCGGGTTCTAGTCCCGGTCGGGGCGCCAGATTCTGTCCCGGTTGCTCCTCTTCAAGGCCAGCTCTCTGCTGTGGCCCGGGAGTGCAGTGGAGGATGGCCCAAGTGCTTGGGCCCTGCACCCCATGGGAGACCAGGAGAAGCACCTGGCTCCTGCCATCGGATCAGCCCAATGTGCCGGCCGTGGCAGCCATTGGAGGGTGAACCAACGGCAAAAGGAAGAGCTTTCTCTCTGTCTCTCTCTCTCTCTCACTGTCCACTCTGCCTGTAAAAAAAACAAAAAAGACTCAAGTGTGCTGTCTTGAAGCACACTGCTTCTCTATTCTGTAGTGTGAACTCCAGGTCATTATTATGTAATTGTTAGCAGTCTTAATAGGTAAAAAAAGGCTGTGTTCTCTTTGATGGGTGCTCTTGTTACTCACGCCTCCTACCTAGGCTAGAAAGCAGAGTACCTTTAGATGTTTCTACATGCATGTGGAGCAACTCAGCTTTTTCTCTTTATAGCTTTGGTATGACTAGAATCTTCCCTCTCTGCCACCTTCGTTCCATGGCCCTGCTGCAGATTATTGTCATCCTTTGCCTCTTATTCTTGTTCTGCTCATCCTCCTCAAAAGCACCAGTCGTTTGACCAATACATGCACTCAGTAAATGGAGAGAATACAGGGAGGCACTTTGAACACGTAGGGGCATTTCTCTTATCAAATGCCTGACACAGGAATGTTACTGCTGATCTTGCTCTGATTAGATTTCTTTCTTCTTTCTTTCTTTTTTAATGATTTATTTTCTTAAAAGTCAGAGTTACACAGAGAGAGAAGGAGAGGACGAGAGAGAGGCAGAGGGAGAGGTCTTCCGTCTGCTGGTTCATTCCCCAGATGGCTGCAATGGCTGGAGCTGCTGCAATCTGAAGCCAGGAGCCAGGAGTTTCTTCCAGGTCTCTCACATGGGTGCAGGGGCCCAAGGACTTGAGCCATCTTCTACTGCTTTCCCAGGCCACAGCAGAGAGCTGGATTGGAAGTGGAGCAGCTGAGGCTCATGCCTGCACTGCAGGCAGTGGCTTTACCTGCTACACCACAGCGCTTACCTGCTAGATTTCCTCTTTCTAACATAGGCAGTACAGTACTGTCCTTTTGAGAGGAACAAAGGTTGTAAACCTCACATGTGAAATGAGAAGTTGAGTAAGAAGACCTTCAGGGGCAGGTATTTGATGTTGGATGGCATTAAGAAGCTGCTTGGAACACCTGCATCCCATATGGTATTCCCTGTTTCAAGTCCTGGTGTTGCTACTTTACTCAAAAAAAAAAAAAAAAAGAGATAAGGTTTTTTATTTGAAAGGCAGAGAGACAGAGAGGGAGAGAGATCGATCTTCCATCCACTGGTTCACTCCCCAAATGGCCTCAGTGGTGGCTGGGACTGGCCAGGTCAAAGTCAAGAGCCAGGAGCTTCATCTGGGTATCCCACAAGAGTGGTAGGGCCCAAGCACTTGGGCCATCTGTATTGCCTTCGCAGGCAATTAGGGAGCTGGTCCAGAAATGGAGCATCTGGGACTGGAAGTGGTACCCATATGGGATGCTGGCGTTGTAGGGGGCAGCTTTACCCACAACACCACAGTGCCAACACCTAGTGCTGCTTATGATGCAGCTCCTAGCTGATGTATCTAACATTGAGAAATGAGAGAAAAAGTACCAACATGATAACGTGCACGTAGAAAATGTCAACAGTGACCTCAGATGCTGCCTTTCTGTATTCTGTCTTGCTTTGTGGAAGATAGGATTTGTCCCATTTCAAACACATTCCATAGGTTAAATGCAGGGCTAGACTGTGAAGGGTGGTGACTTGCAAGCAGACCTGTGTTCTGTGGAGAACTGTGTAGGTCACAGGTGTTCCGTGTCCTTGTGCAAATGGACACGTAAGAGTCTGAATAAATACATTGCAAAGATTTCCTGATGCGTGAGTCAGAGAATACGCCAGACAGAATGTTTGTAAGGAAGAAGAGAAGGAATGTGTACCAGAATCTTTTCTAAGTTAAACTCTTTTTCAAATTCTGTGTTAATAGGGTATGTAGTGCATATAATATCAAATTCTACACAAACTCTAGTAGTTGGTCTTGATGCAGTATTTTATTTACAGCTATGTCTTCCTTTTTTAAATTTTTTACTTTTTTCGATCTTTCTTATTTTTCATTGAGAGTTACACATGGAGAGGATGAGAGGCAGAGTGAGAGGAGAGAGAGGGAGGTCTCCCATCTGCTGGTCCACTACCCTGTTGGCTGCAAAGGGCGGAGCTGAGCGGATCTGAAGCCAGGAACCAGGAGCCAGGAGCCTCCCCGGGGTCTCCTGCATGGGTGCAGGGGCCCAAGGAGTTGGGCCATCTTCTGCTGCATTCCCAGACCGCAGCAGAGAGCTGCTTCGGAAGTACAGCAGCCGGGACTCGAACCGGAGCCCATATGGGTTGCCGGCACTGTGGGCGGTGGCTTTACCCGCTACCGCACAGCGCTGGTCCCTCCCGGAAGCTGTTCCCCGTGGGATCCAGCTGTCTGCTAACGTACCTGGGAAAGCAGAGGGAGATGGCCCAAGGACGTAGGCCCCTGAACCCAGAAGGGAGCACCCGATAAAGTCCCTGGCATCTGCTTTGGCCTGGCCCAGCCCCGGCCTTTGTAGTCACCTGGGGGGTTGATCCCCCAGATGGACGCTCTGGCGAGAAAGAGCGCTCGTGATGCCGCTTGCATTGCTTCTCTCCCCATGCGGCTTCAACAGCATGCGCTGTGCCAAACAGAAGCCAGGGGGCAGGAGCTCCATTGAGGACTCCCAGGAGGCAGGGAAGTGGGGTGCAGAGTACCTGGGCCACCAGCGGCTGCCCCGCCTGGGTAAAGCCTGGAGGGGCGGGACTGGAAGTGACCCTGGGGGCGCTGGACGCGGGATGTCGCAGTGCGCAGATGCGTCCCGTTGCGCCATGGCGACGGCCAGTGAGGAGTGCGCCTGCGCCTGGCGCTGTGACCTGGAAGTGCACCCGCAGGCGCATCTGCAGCTGTGCTGGTGCTCAGGTAGGAGTCAGCGTCGTGTCCGCTCCTGCCCAGCGCTGGCACAAGCCTTGAGGAGCCATCCTCGACGCTGGTGGCCCACCCTGAGGAGACACAGTGAGTGCCCCCCAGGTTCAGGCCGGGTTCAGATGAGGCTGCAGTCTGAGGCGGCCGCATCAGTTATCTTGGGCTTCTGGAAATTTCTAGGTGCAGTCTTTTGCTTTGGCCGCTTCCGGAAGACTACACCTCAAGACTGCGTTCATGTTCCAGAGACACAGAAACGGCCTTCCTGCGGAGAGTTTGGCGTGGTGGCCTTCCTGTCACTGGGTAGGCGGGGCCCAGGGTGCAGAGCGGGGGTGGGGTGTGTGTGTGAAGGGTAGCTGGGATAGAAGGTGGAGGAGAGGGTGTAAGGGGGAGGTGGGAGGAGGGAGCGAGGGGGAAGGATGAAAAAGTGGCGTGCAGGTGTGGAGGCGAGGAAGGTAGGGGCAGAAACCCTCGTGGGGCAGAGGCAAGGGAGGGGGAGAGTGACAGGCATCCCGGTGAGTGTGTGGTTGAGCGTGGGGTGGGGAGAGGAAGAACTTTTCCCACGGCCCCGGTTTTCTGCCCCTGGTGGGAAGTAGCCTTGGCCGCATCCGTGAGAAGAGGCCTTGATCACGGCCTTTCTTCTCCGGGTTGTTCGGCAGTGTAAGGTGTGTGTGCGCAGGAAAACGGGCATGGGGCGCTCGAATTAATTTGCACCTAATCCGGTGACTTTCCACAGACTGCACACAGGGAGGAGAAAGCAGAAGCTTAGAGAAACCCCAAGAATCCCTCTTTGCTCTGTTCCAGCCTGCCCCAAGATTCTGACACCTCATAGTAAGTACGCGACTTTTTCTATTTAAAGACTGGTTTGAAGGGCAGAGTTATAGATGAGGCGGTGAGGGAGAGATCTTCAGTGTGTGGGCTCACTCCGCCCAGGTGCCAGGTGGCTACAATGGCCGGTGCTTGACCAGGCCGGAGCCCTAGCCAGGTACTGTATCCAGTACTCCGGTGTGGGTTCGGGGGCCCAAGTCCTTGGGCCACTTCCTCTGCTTTCCTAGGCGTTTGAGGAGACAGCGGGATCACAAGTGGGAAAAGCCTGGGTGGGGCGGCGGTCGGAGCCATGGCTTGGCGGGTGAAGCAGCCTGCAGTACCAGCATTCCATATGTGTGTCCGTTCCAGCTCTCTACTGTGGCCAGGCAAAGCAGTTGAAGAGGGCCCAAGTCCTTGGGTTGAAGACCTGTGTGGGAGTCCTGGAGGAAGCTCCTGGCTCCTGGCTTCATATCCACTCAGCTCTTTCTGTGGATGGTTGGCCGTGGTGGCCTTCCTGTCACTGGGTGCGTGGGGCCCGAGGTGCAGAGAGCGGGGAGGGTGTGTGTGTTTGAGGGGTAGTTGGGATAGAAAGTGGAGGAGGGAGGGGCTCAAGGGGGATGCGGGAGGAGAGAGGAAGGGGGGAGAATGAAAAGGTGATGTGTAGGTGTGGAGGTGAGGAAGGGAGGGGCAGAAACCCGCGTGGAGGAGAGGAAAGGGAGGTGGAGAGTGACAGGAGTCCTGGTGGGTGTGGGTGGTGGCGGGGTTTGGGAGAGGAAGAACTTTTCCCATGGCCTCGGTTGCGTCTTGGGTGTTTTCTGTCCCTGGCCAGCAGTAGCCTTGGTCGCGTCCTTGAGAAGAGGACCTTGACTCACGGCCTCTCTTCTCCAGGTTGTTCGGAAGTGTAAGGTGTGTGTGCAGGAAAACGGGCATGGGGCGCTCGAATTAATTTGCACAGAATCTGGTGAATTTTCACAGACTGCACACAGACAGCTTGATCACAAGTGGGAACAGCCTGGGTTGTTGGGGGTTTGGGGGTGTGGGGCGGGCAGAGCCATGGCATAGTCAGTGAAGCCACCGCCAGCTGTACCAGCATTCCGTATAGGTGTCTTCCTTTTCTGTGATACTTTTCTCTCCTTCCCCTGACAGAGGTAAGTATCCAGAGCTTTTGGATGTATTTCATTACAGAAATATTTCTGTTACACACTCTTTATATATGTAAAGTACTTACCCATTTAATCACCATTTATTTGCTGTGTACCTATTTCATGCAAGACTGTGAGCTTGTCCAGGGCAGGACTTTATCTCTCTGCTTTCATTCCTGTAGTCCCTGGTCACGGTTGGTATTTGATATATGCAGAACTAACTGCCCTCACTGCTGCGTCTTGGGACAGGAAGTGATGGTTAATGAAGGCTCTGGTCACAAGAATAAAGGTCGGAGGGACAAGAAAGGATGTTTAACACAATCAGCATTAATGAAGCACTTTCAGTTGTCAGGCTTCTTAAGGTACCGTTGTCTCATTTCTAAATAACAACACAAGGAGGGGAAGCAAGAGGTTTTTTTGTTTGTTTTTGTTTTTTTGAATTATACCACATTGTCCTGTCTAATTCTCTTCAAAGGTCTGTGAGGGAGGCACTTCTGATAGCCTTATAAATATTAGTTAAAGGAAGTGGGAACCTGCCCTAGGCCATATATCAAGATCAGTGAAGTTCCAGTTTAAATCCTGCTTTGCTTGCCCCAGAGCTGTGTCCCTCCTGGGGTTGGAACCTCAGCTTCCATCGGTTCCAGAGTTGGGGTATCAGAGAGGTGGTAGCCAGAGAAAACCAGTGGTCCTAGTCTTTGGGCTTGTCTGTGTGTGGAGCATAAATAACTACAGGGACTTGAGCTGTGTCACTAAGGACCCTTCTTGCTAATGCTGTGGCCTCATGCTGTGATTTGTTAACATAGGTCTTGTGTCCTGGTTCACACCAGTGGGGAGTCTTGAGCTGTTGGCGGGGGGCGGGGGGGTCTGAGGAGGGTACCTTGCCACCCTGGGACTGGAACTGACTTTTAAGAGGGACCTTGAGGTATGAAAGGAGATTTGCTGGTAGGGTTAGGACCAGAGGGTTTGAGGAGTCCTCAAGGTCCCTGGTGATTAGTCTTTTTAAAATTTATTTATTATTTATTTCAAAGGAAGAAAGAAATATTTCATGCGTTAGTTTACTTCCCTAATGCCCTCAACAGCTGGAAAGGTATGTGAAGCCAGGGTCTGGGAACTCAATCCAAGTCTCCCATGTGAGTGGCAGGGATGTAAGTACTTGAGCCATCACCTGCTGCCTCCCAAGTTGGAATAGTAGGAAGCTGGAATCAGGACTTCAGCCAGGACTTGATCCTGGGCACTCTAACATGAGCTGTGGGGATTGCAGTAGAGGCTTAGTCGCTATACCAAAAGCCCATCCCTGATTAGTCTTCAGTTCCCTCCTTCAAAGTGTGGCTGGCTACTTGGGAGGGGTTTACCTCACCACTGCTAACTGGGCCTGCTGCACAATTTTGTGAGGACCTTGTTCCAAAGGCAGGGGTAAAGGGCCACTAAAGATACTAAAACATAAAGCTCTTTCCTTTCTTCCACCTACCTCCTTGGCTCAGACTCATGCTCTTTTGACTGGCTTACAAAACACAAGTTCAAAGACAGAGTTTTGAGGATTTTTAAGACACCACCAGCAGAGGTTTAAACCCAGTGCAGGCCCTTCAGAGAGCGAGCCGTGTGACTGTTTCTGTGTGACCATGTAGGCTGCACGCCCATGAGGTTGGCCCTGGCTGCTGAATATAACCCATTGGCTTTAACCAGTCCAGGTCTAATCCTGTGACACTCCAGGGCACCTGGGCAGACTTATGTCTTATTAAATCAGCTCCCTGAGGATTGTGTGGACTAGTTAGTCATACTGTCTCGTGATCACGCTCCTCGATTTTCTTAGAGACCTCTTGTCTTGTCTAGCTAGGACTGGTATCTTTTTCTAGAGTAAGGCTCCTCACCCCTGACCTAGAGCACTGAGAGGAACTGGAATGCTGCTGTGTGGCAGAGACCTCCTGCAAGTTCTCTGAGCAGTACTGGGTCCCCACAGCTCCGCTTAGTGTTTCTATGGTACCACACTTTGAGAACTGTGCTCGCAAATGACTCATGGGACAGTCTGTCCCTGCTCTATTCCTGCTCTGAGCCTGGCAATCAAGGTCCAGACAAGGCCCCTGATAGAAATATTGCATCCAAGCAGCCCCCTTATAACTAAGGTCACCTCAAGATCCCCACAAATGGATCTTGGACCAGAGGTCAGGACTTTATGTGCAACTTGAACACTTCCTGCCTTGGGAAGTTCACTGCCCCCACCCCAGGACATGTTCTGAGCTGCTTGGTCCTAGGTGTAGAGGCTCTGGCCTCTGGAAATGTACTGAGTTGACTTCTGAGTTTCCAGATGCCAGAAAACATGTAACAGAGTTCCTCGGATCTGTGTGACCACTTGGATATCCAACTGTGATTGCAGACACCCATGGTGAAGACTTTTGAGTGCCGCCTCATGGTGGAGCTGAGTGCTTCCTGCTGGGACTGTGGGATCTTCCTGGGATGCCAGGGTGGCACAGCAAGCCATGGTGCTCTGGAGGCTGTCACTGAATCTGTGTGTAGCTTAGAAGGTAAAACTGTGTCTTTCCAGTAGTATGGAGCAGAGCCTCAGGACGAGGAGATGGTCCTATCAGAACTTGATGCTGGGGCTGGCGCTGTGGCACAGCAGGATAAAGTGTTGGCCTGCAGTACTGGCATCCCATATGGGTGCTGGTTCATGTCCCGGCTGCTCCACTTCTGAGCCAGCTCTCTGCTAAGCCCTGGGAAAGCAGTAGAAGATGACCTGAGTCTTTGGGGTCCTGCACCCGTGTGGGAGACCTAGAAGAAAATTCTGGCTCCTGGCTTTGGATCAGCTCAGCACTGGCCATTGGCAGTCATTTGGGGAGTGAACAAGCTGTTGGAAGACCTCTCTGTCTCTGTCTCTGTCTCTCTAACTCTTTCAAATAAGTAAAATAAATCTTTTTTAAAAAAGAACTTAATGCTAATGTGTGCATTTGTTCTAACTTGGAAAGGAAATCTCATTCCTCTGCTTCAAGTCACCTTGCAATTCAGGAAGGGCAGCATTTTTTTTCGTTGGGCTTCTTGCGTCTTCTCTGCTGGCTTCTCCCTTGTAAATTATCATGTAGCATCATCCTTTGCTCTGGTAGGATTCATTTTTAAAACCGTGCTTTTTCTTTTCTTCATCAGAATAGTTCAGAAAGTTAATGGGAAATGGAATCAAAAGATACCTTTATTTTAGTGTAAAAATTTTTTAAGCCCATGCATATTTTTTGTAATACGTATTTTTATATAATGTTTGAAGATCCCTCATGTATCATAACAAGTCTTTACAAATTTTGGTCATTGTCTTGGTCCTTTAGTTATTAGGAATAAATTATTTTGTTAGGTTGAAATTAGCCTTTTTGAATTAGTGCCGGATCTCATTTGCTGTGACATAAAGAATTGCTTTATGGATAATGAAAGCACCTTAATGATGTGGTCTAAAGGAGAAAACAATATTACTCAAGCTATTAACACCAGGGGACTTCTCCCTGACCTCTTAACAGTGCCCTGCAAACTGTACATTATTGTACTCTTGAGGATCCAGGGGCTGAAGTCTGGCCTGAAGGTATTTTAGAGAATGCTCCATGTGGGAAAGTCATAAGAAAAACAGAGGAATATAAGTAGCAGTTAATGAGAAGGCAGAAGAGACTTCTAGAAAGGTTTGCTGGGATTTTTTGAGCAGCACAGCAAGCACTAGGTTGTCTGTGTTGGGCACCAGATACAATCACTACAGCCTTGTGAAATTAGAAACTATGCCGTTCTGGCCAGCGCCGCGGCTCACTAGGCTAATCCTCCGCCTAGCGGTGCCGGCACACCGGGTTCTAGTCCCGGTTGGGGCGCCGGATTCTGTCCCGGTTGCCCCTCTTCCAGGCCAGCTGTCTGCTGTGGCCAGGGAGTGCAATGGAGGATGGCCCAGGTGCTTGGGCCCTGCACCTCATGGGAGACCAGGAGAAGCACCTGGCTCCTGGCTCCTGCCATCGGATCAGCGCGGTGCGCCGGCCACAGCGCGCCGGCCGCGGCAGCCATTGGAGGGTGAACCAACGGCAAAAGGAAGACCTTTCTCTCTGTCTCTCTGTCTCTGTGTTGGGCACCAGATACAATCACTACAGCCTTGTGAAGTTAGAAACTATGCCGTTCTGCAGAATTGTGTTTGAGAGACTCAGCCTACAAGGAATGCAGGTGAGACAGAGCATCTCTGACCTTAACAGAGGCAGTGTGATTGGTCATTCTTTACTTTCCCTTTATATTGCTATAGCAACTTTAAAATGCCTTTTGTTTAAAAACCTGAGGGAATGTATGTGAAAAGTCATTTTGGCAATCTTTGGTCATCAGTAAATTCACCATCTTACGTGTGTTATAACTTACTGAACCCGTGGTACTAGGAACTTGATAGACTTGCAGCATTAGACTACAATTTTCTGCTTGCTCAAAACTGAGGGAGTTGGAGCTTACCCAGCATAATTAGAAATGTACCCTCTATTTGAAGCCTTGGCAAGAACAATAATTTAGTATCGTGGCTGTGTGGCACTGGTAGAATGTGTTGTTCAGTCCTGAGTTTGGGCACCTTGTTTGTTTATGACAGAAAACAGCTTTCAGAAACTTCCTGGTGGATAAAATACTCTTTTCACAATCTGGTGGTTTCACTGCTTTTTTTCTAAAGGTTTAATTTTCCCTTCGAGTGCAGGCATGTTCATTTTATCAAAGCTGGCATTTTCTCTTCTTTAAAAATTAAAGTCTTGAGTATTCTGAAGAAAATTTCGCAACCATTAGGGTATATAAGTGTGTGTCGTGTGAGCATAATTACAAGGATGAAATGCTTTGCTTTTGAGTAGTAGTGGACCAACACTTGGTGTGCTAAGCAACATAGTTTTTATTCTATTTTGTGGTTCAAAGGCTGCTTACTACTGCTCCTGATCTTAGATTATCTTAGTCCTTTTTGTCAAATGGATTTAGAGCGCACAGCACCTTTTTATCCACCTTCTCTCTGAAAAGCAGTGGGAGATAGAGCAACTTTTTTAAAGATTTATTTATTTGCGAGGTAGAGTTACAGAGAGAGAGGTTTTCCGTCCAATGGTTCACTCCCCAAATGGTTGCAATGGCCAGAGGCGAACCGATTCAAAAGCTGGAGCCAGGAGCTTCTTTGAGGTCCCCTACATGGTTTCAGGGGCCCAAGAAGTGAGGCTATCTTCTGCTGCTTTTCCAGGCTATAAGCAGAAAGCTAGATTGGAAGAGTAGCATCGGGGGCACGAACCGCACCCATGAGGGATGCTGGCGCTGCCGGAGGGATGCTTTACCTACTTTACCACGGCGTTGGCCCACAGAGCAAATTTTTAAGCCAAGAGCCAGGAGCCCAAGAGCTGGGCCATCCTCCGCTGCTTTCCCAGGCACATTAGCAGGGAGCTGGATTGGAATCCGAGTACCAGAACTTCTGATGCAGCTATCTGCTAATGTGCCTGGGAAAACAGCGAAAGATGACCCAAATGCTTAGGTTCCTGCCACTCACATGGGAGACTGATTGAGTTCCAGGCTCCTAGCTTTGACCTGCCCATCCCTGGCCATAGTGGTCATTCGGGGAGTGGACCAGCATATGGAAGGTTCTTCTCTGTCTCTCTGTCTTTCTCTAACTCTGACTCTGATTCTACTTTTCAAATAAATAAATCTTTTTAAAAAATCAGCTGTATTCACAATAGCATTAAAACATACTTTAAAACAATTTTTTAAATAAAGCGCACAAGAGTAGTATTGAAAACAACAAAATGTTTTTTGAAAAAATGAGAGATCTAAATCCATGGAAAGATGTGACATGTTTATAGATCAGAAGGTTTCATATTGTTAAAACTGTATTAAGCCCCACATTAATCTACAGATTAAGCACACTTTATCAAAGATCTTGCTGGATTTTTGTTGTTGTTGTCATTGTAGATTTTCACAAGCTGATCCTAAAATCACACAGTAGTATTAGGGAGCCAGAGTTACCAAACTACAATGAAAAAGAAGGTCAGAATGGGAGGACTGACACTTAGCAATTTTAATGATACTCCAGAACTACAGTGATGGAGACAACAGGCGTTAGCATAAAGGTCTACACATCAGTGGAATAGAATTGAGAGTCCAGAAATGTACTTTCACAGTCAACAGATTTTCAACAAGTGTACTAGGACTGTGAAATCAGGAAATAAAAGACATGTTAATGTTTTTTTGTTTGAGCAACTATATATTCAAAGAATGTTTAGACCTCTGCCTCGCACCAAGCACAAAAATTAACTCAAATCACATTATAGCTAGAGCTATAAACTCTTAGAGGCAAGTAGCAAAGTAAGTTTTCCTGATCCTTGGTTAGGTAATGGTTTCTTAGATATTACATTAAAAACATAGTCACCAAAGAAATTAAAAAAAAAAAAACTCAAGCTTTGCTTATGGGAATTAAGTACAAGTACTTTGGAAAACAGTTTGGTAGTTCCTTTAAATATTAAAGATACAGTTACCATATGTCCCAAGAAATATGAAAGCATTGCTATGTAAAAGCTGGTACACAGATGTTTCTAGCAGTATTATTCATAAAAAAGTACAAGTAACCCAAATGTCTATTGATGAATGGATAAATAAAATATGATATATCCATATACTTGAATACTGCTTGGCAACAAAAGTGGACAAAATACTTATACATGCTATCACATGGGAGAATGTTGAACACATTATGCCAATTAAAAGAGGCCAGACACAAAAATCATGTATTGTATGATTCCTTGTATAAGAAAAATTCTTCAAATTTATATGAAGAGAAAGTAGATGAATAGTTGCATAGGACTGGAGCTGGGGTTGGAAATGGGGATTAACTGGTAATGGATATGAAGTTTTTCTTTGGGTTGGTGTAATTTTCTAAAATTGTGTTAGTGACAGCTTTTGAATTTGACAGTCTGTTGATTTGAACACTTCAATGGGTAAATGTCATGGTATGTGACAACTTAATGGAACTGTTTTTATTTTATTTTTTTTTTTTTTAACGATTTATTTGTTTATTCGAAAGTCAGAGTTACACAGAGAGAGGAGAGGCAGAGAGAGAGAGAGAGGTCTTCCATCCGATGGTTCACTCCCCAGATGGCCACAACGGCCGGAGCTGTGCCGATCCGAAGCCAGGTGCCAGGAGCCTCCTCCAGGTCCCCCACACAGGTGCAGGGGCCCAAGGACTCGGGCCATCCTCTACTGCCCTCCCAGGACACAGCAGAGAGCTGAATGGTAAGAGGAGCAGCCGGGACTAGAACCGGCACCCGTATGGGATGCCGGCACTTCAGGCCAGGGCGTTAACCTGCTGAGCCACAGCACTGGCCCCGAGATACACATTTCAAGCCTTGTGTCTCGTGTAGAGCAGATTTCTATGGAACTGTTTTTAAAACCAAGGTATTTCATAGTGGTCAGTAAAATGACAGAAAGCAAGAGTTTTTGAATTGAGCTTTGTATTTCATAGAGATATCTTCAGGGCTGCCTTGGGTATTCAGGGGCCTCCTTTGAACTTCTATATAGATTCCAGTTCCAGATAGGATTTTGATTGGGAAGTGGATTGTACTGCCTTTAAAAAATAAAATGGGAGGCCGACGCCACGGCTCAATAGGCTAATCGGTCCTTCTGTGGCGTCGGCACCCGGGTTCTAGTCCCGATCGGGGCGCTGGATTCTGTCCTGGTTGCCCCTCTTCCAGTCCAGCTCTCTGCTGTGGCCTGGGAAGGCAGTGGAGGATGGCCCAAGTGCTTGGGCCCTGCACCCGCATGGGAGACCAGGAGGAAGCACCTGGCTCCTGGCTTCAGATCAGCGCAGCGTGCCAGCCATAGCAGCCACTTCGGGGGTGAACCAATGGAAAAGGAAGACCTTTCTCTCTCTCTCTCTCTGTCTAACTCTGCCTGTCAAAAAAATAAATAAATAAAATTGAAGCAGTTACTTAACATTCATCTGTTCTCAAGGATTAGTCTTAGCAAAAAACATTTTTTAAAAAAGATCGGTTTATTCATTCATTTAATTTATTTCTATGTGCCTTGTAT